CAGCATGTCCTAAGAAAATACAAATTCAGCTTTTAATAGACTTCATGAATCTTTCCAATTTGCATTCCAGAGCCAAGAACATCATCATTTTCTAAACCTGTGAGAATGCTCAGCACAGAGCACAATCTGATTCGACAAATGCGGACTCCTTCAGGAATCAGGGCATTGACCCTGTCACGATTAAATGTGCCATACTATTGACATTGAAGTTACAAGTTCAATACACTTACAGTCAAGTTTAGGACTTGTGCACAATTTAAAAATACTCTTAATATATGTATACAGCCACATCAAAACAAACTATGATGGGGCTTAATTGTGAGGCCAACTAGATAGGAACCATAAATAGACTATACAATTAGGTAGTATATACAATGGAAATATACTTTCCACAATTTTAAACAATCTAATATAATTCCCTATTTATGTCTAAAACTTATTCCAGCAGAAATGAAAGTTGCACTGTATAAGCATTTGCTATCTGTTTACTAAAATAGCAAGTAAGACTATTTCCACAGTTTTGTAGGCATTAACAGGACAGCTACACAGCAGGGGGGAAATGCATATTTCCCCAAGCAGGTTATATGAAGAGATTTTTTGTTTTTAATTAAAATAGGGACCAATAGGGGCCACCTTCAGCAATAGCAATGCCTTACTGAGGGGACGGACAATGGGGTCTCGGGGATTAAACGAAAGGCCTCACACATGCTCGGCAGGTGCTATCCAATTTGGAGCTATCACCCCAGACCCCAGTGTCTGAAATTTTCCTTTAGGGTCACACACAGCATTGCTTGGAGCTACTCCTGGCTTGGTACTCAGGAGGTACTCTCATCAGTGCTTGGGAAATGAAGCATCGGGAAACTCAGGGCAACAGAGGCAAAACGTGCTCCAGCCCTTTCATCTATATCCCCAACCCTAGAACCATAATCCAAATTCTTTCCCTGAAGCCACAGGGGCGAAAATGTTAATCCACCTTCTTTCCCTGGAATTTTTGGGGAAAAACACCCAAATACTTCTGTACCAAAGTAAGATTATTCTCCAGTGATAAAATAACCTTTGGGTGAGCAAATCTTTTGTTGTCAGATTGTCCTAACCAGAGTGGCCCTCATTTGACTATGAAATTCCAATTACAAACATAATTCCACTCCAACATTGACATCTGTTCATGGGGTTTGAGCTCTTTTCACTGCTAAGGTAGGTCCCAGCACTGTCAGAGGCCACTTGCACATTTCCTTATTCCACATTTCTCATCACTGATTTCTATAAAACAAGACCAAACATCACCACTGTACAAAATCTTGACAAAAAGAAAACAATTTTCCATGCATCAAGAGTTGTGAAATAAGAGACAGCTATACATTAACTCACATATAGCGACCGATTTGACATGTTCAAAGAAAATGCTGTGCCCACAACTGGTGGAAATTGACGTGCAATGCTAAAATCTTTCCCAGATAAAGGTGTCAATATAATTTGCTTTTAAGAAACTAAATTTAGGGCCAAGAAAACAGTTTAAAGGGTTTGAGTTCATGCTTTGCCTCCTGGAGGCCTGAATTCAATCTCTGACACCAAATAGTTACCCCAAGCAAAATAAAGAGAGCCCCCCCCACCCAAATATAAAGAGATTAAACTTAAAGGGGTCCTGGATTATTTCCATACATGCTATTGTGAAATAACTGATAATCAGATGTCCAGTGAAGTATTGATGTTGAAGTAGGATATTTCTTATGAATTATCGCATTTATACAAGGATATGCATTCAATTAAATATGTATTGGGTTTTATGTCTGAAGGAAATTGTTCATGAGTCTCATCTACGGCGATTCTTTTACAAATGAAATTGTTTCATCCACATGCAGATTGCATACTCAAGATGGTGGAAAGTCGTATAAGATGCAAATATTTTGCTATTATGTATGTTGCAAAAAATCTACAAACAGCTCAGCATTTCAGTTAGTCTCATTTCCCAGTAATATATTTCAATTAGGTGTATGACGTGTTACTTGATACTCTGTGGATATCTTGAAAATATGTAGTTAGGGTTGACAAAGCACACAAAAAAATTCAGTGATGGCGATAGAAATGGGATTTGAGGGTAGCAGGGCTTAGTATAATTGCTACACTAGTAACTTATTAAGAGTAGATTGGGCTAATTTGGGAGTCATGTGCCAGTGAATTCAATGACTATGTTCAGTATAAAACCGAAAACCCAATTTGAGAGCTCTAAAGAGAAAAGCGAATTATTTCAGTAAAACATAGAAATTTAGAAACAATGGTAGATGACTGGTTTTCTGAATGAAAAAAAAAATCATTTCAAAGAAATTTATTTCATCGAATCATGAGAAAGAGCATTCTAGAAGCAGTGGAACCAGCATACAATCACAATGCTGAACAATGAATAAGCATCAGCTTTTAAAAAAAAAAAATCACATGGCAGACAAAGGGGGATAAAATAATTATAGGCCAACAAAGTAGGGATCCTGTGAGGTTGCCACCATGGGATTATAACTAAAGGAGAATATCCATAATGTGAATTATAACAAAGGAATGAATGAAAACATCACACTTGTGACTGGTTGTTTTCACTAACTTATTTTGGTGAATTAGTACTAACTTCACAATTTCCAACATTCCTATAATTAACACTGGTGCTTCAAGTTTAGATTGGTAAATTAGTGACACACAATTTGAATTGCTATAGAGATACCACAATGGGTTATTTTGGAGGAAATCACAATTTTTCTGAAAGAGTATCATTTAGGATTTAAATTTAACATTAATATGTCATGGGTATGATTCAAAGAAAAACAAAAGTAGTACTTAAATTTTGCTGTTACTTAATAAGTTTATAATGGGAGAATGGGGAGATGGTTGGATGAGTGAAAGGTCTTTAAGCTTTTCCCATTGAAAACAGTGTGGAAATAATTGCTAGTGAGATCTAAGGTCTAAAATCTAAAATGAAATATCCATAGGGTATGTTCCTGATAATCCAATACTAGTAAATGTCTTATTGAAGCAGCTGAAACAATAATCACTTATTTTATATACTTATATTTATAAGAAACCTGAAACTCACAAAAATATACATGTTCTTCAACAGAAATCTAAGGCACACAAATACTAAACAAGTTAATGAATTACCCTATTTTACATATTCAAGAAGCAAAAAAATCGATTTGTACAAGATGATGGTGTGTCAATGGACAGTATATTTACAATCCCTTCATGTTCCTTTACTCGGATTAGTCAAAAGCTTGAAACTGATACTGTGCACCATATATTATTTTAATATAAGTTATGAGTATTATTTTATAGAGCTTCTGGAACTGTTTGCGTTTTTGCACCAAAATTGTGAGTGTTAGCGGTTGTGGGTTTCCAATGGCATTTCCAAGGGAGAAGCACCATTAGGAATTCCATACTCCCAAGGAATCAGACACTTTGAATGATATAGCACCTCTACATTTTAACAGAATCAAGTATTTCATCGAAGATTCTTCTTTGTTAAAAACATTTGTTGGGCGGTCCCTTTTCCTTCGCTACAGGATGTGTTAATAAAACAAAGAGGGAAAAAAAGTGAGGAGTAAAATAAATAGAATGCCCACTTCCCTCTTTCCCAGAGAACATAGGCAATTATCAGAAAGCATGAATACGAACGATCATTTTTACAAAATGAAAACATTCTGACAGGGATGTAACTCAGCAGTAGGGCACTTGCCTTACATCATGTGAAAGGTCCTGAGTTTGATCCCTGGCACCATAGTGAAAATGCTTCCAACGATTAGGTATTAGCATTAAATGGACTAATCAGATCAACAATATTATTTTTCGAATGGCTTGTTTGGGGTGTATGAAGACAAGGACTTTCCGTTTTTTAGAGGCATTTATCTCTGTTCCATACCAGAAGGATTTCAGAATAAGGCAATTTCGAACGGGTAGGTCTCTTGCTACTATTTTTTTTTTGTATTTGTTATCACCTTTAAACACGAGAAGCCTTTGACTCTTCTGAATCCCATTATGCCCCTTTCTTTTTGGAATTATCTCTCTTGGATCGGACTGAGAAAGCTTGGATCAAAGTAAACTGGGGCCACAACTGCTAGAAATATCAGGAGAGCATTCCCAATCCCATAGACAGTGTGAGTCAATATTGGTGATAAGCTTTCAATTTCAGAATTAGAGATAATCAACGATTTTTGCATGATCTATTTTATAACTAATGTTTGAATGGATAAAGACACATTGAAAACACAAACATTACACCTGATCAGAATACAGACTGCGAAAAAGATGGAACTCTACACAGCACGAATAAATGATCTCTTGTATGCAAATATGCACAAACAATAAACAATAGAATTCTTAGGCTATACTATTTCAAGTTACTTTTAAAAATAGAAAGTGCTTTTAAAATATATATTTACAATTTATGAACAGCCTCCAACCATTACTGACAAGAGTGAATAATTTGATACAGGAGTGGTATTCTGAGCGAAACGTTTCATCGGTTCATTTCGAAGGAACATGCCAATTTTTTAGCAATGATTGGAAGATGTTGGAACAATGGCACCATGAAATAATTCAGCTTATTTTTTACTGTGTCATTGTGGTTAAGCACCAGGAACTGTGTAGAGTTAACACTGTGAATCTTGATTTTTACATCGTAGAACACGAACCTGTTAAGATCCTCTAAAAATGACTCTGGTTTCATAGTAAACAGACTTAATGTAAAGCACCAAACTGAGTGATTCTATCAAGGTTAACAGCTAACCAAAACATTTCTTTACGTATTCAAAACTAGAAAAGCTTGATTTTCGCTGAAAATGTGCACCTTCTCCCAATTGTCAAAATAGAGTCACAGTTAAGAAAGCCCCACCCCGATTTCTGTGTTCGACCTCAGCCTGCAAGTGGGTGAGATGAAGATAAAAATGACAGCATGACCCTCTTGGAACAGCACCTTGGGGAAACACACCGCGCTGGCAAAGGCGTCGAGCGGGGAGCCGCCTTCAGACCCAGTGATTGTAGGGCCCCGCCACGTGCGTGAGCGCATACGGGGACACAGTGACCACGTTGTCATGGGTCAGGGTCAGCGCCTTGTGCGAGGGGATCTGGGCCAGCTCGTTGAGCCCGGGGCCCAGGTCGGGCCCCGCGGGGGGCGGCGGCGCCGGGGGCCGCTGCTCGCAGGCCTTGCTGGTCTTCCGGGCCTCCTTGGCCTCGAACTTGATCCTGTTGAGCTCGAAGCCGTGGCGGGGCTCGTTGAGGTTCTTGTGCTGGTAGTAGACGAGCGAGAGGCGCGTGGGGTGGTTGCGGTTGGGGCGCGGCACGGGCGTGGTGGCGTGCAGCTCGCGCCGGGCGCACTCGATCAGCACCGAGCCGTGCGTGGGCGCCACGGCCACGCCGCCCGCGCTGGCGTCCGCGAAGATGTGCTCGCTGTCCGACCAGTACTCGTCCATGTGCGGCACGCGCGCCGGGCCCGCCGCGCCCGGCTCGTCCGACAGGGCCTCGTCCGAGAGCGGCTCGTCGGCGTCCGAGGGCGGCTCCTCGTCGTCTGGCAGGGAGGAAGCAACCTCGTGAGGACGCGCGGCAAGGGGGGACCGGCCCCGGGGAGGCACCGGTCGCGGGGCGGGGCGGGGCGGGGTGGCACGGGAACCGCTGCACCAGGGGGTGCGGCCCCGAGGCAGGGCCCGGCAGGTGCACGAGCCCCGCCGGGTTTTGCAGCGGGTGCACGAGCCCCGCAGGGTTTTGCAGCAGGTGCATGAGCACCACCGGGTTTTGTGGCAGGTGCATGAGCACCACCGGGTTTTGCAGCAGGTGCACGACCCCGCCGGGTTTTGCAGGCGGTGCATGAGCACCGCCGGGCACCGGTCGCAGGGCAGGGCGGGGCAGGGTGGCAGGGGGAACCGCTGGACCAGGGGGTGCGGCCCCGAGGCAGGGCCCGGCAGGTGCACGAGCCCCGCCGGGTTTTGCAGCAGGTGCACGAGCCCCGCCGGGTTTTGCAGCAGGTGCACGAGCCCCGCCTGGTTTTGCAGCAGGTGCACGAGCCCCGCCGGGTTTTGCAGCAGGTGCATGAGCACCGCCGGGTTATGCAGCGCGTGCACGAGCACCGCCGGGTTTTGCAGCAGGTGCATGAGCACCACCGGGTTTTGCGGCAGGTGCACGAGCCCCGCCGGGTTTTGCAGCAGGTGCACGACCCCGCCGGGTTTTGCAGGCGGTGCATGAGCACCGCCGGGCACCGGTCGCTGGGCAGGGCGGGGCGGGGTGGCAGGGGGAACCGCTGCACCAGGGGGTGCGGCCCCGAGGCAGGGCCCGGCAGGTGCACGGGTTTTGCAGCGGGTGCACGAGCACCGCCGGGTTTTGCAGCAGGTGCATGGGCACCGCCGGGCACCGGTCGCAGGGCAGGGCGGGGCAGGGTGGCAGGGGGAACCGCTGGACCAGGGGGTGCGGCCCCGAGGCAGGGCCCAGCAGGTGCATGAGCACCGCCTGGTTTTGCAGCAGGTGCATGAGCCCCGACGGGTTTTGCAGCGGGTGCACGAGCCCCGCCGGGTTTTGCAGCAGGTGCACGAGCCCCGCCGGGTTTTGCAGCAGGTGCACGAGCCCCGCCGGGTTTTGCAGCAGGTGCACGAGCCCCGCCGGGTTTTGCAGCAGGTGCACGAGCCCCGCCGGGTTTTGCAGCGGGTGCACGAGCCCCACCGGGTTTTGCAGCAGGTGCATGAGCACCGCCGGGCACAGGTCGCAGGGCGGGGTGGGGCAGGGTGGCAGGAGGAACCGCTGGACCGGGGGTGGGGCCCAGAGGCAGGGCCTGGCAGGTGCACGAGCACCGCCGGGTTTTGCAGCGGGTGCACGACCCCGCCGGGTTTTGCAGCAGGTGCACGAGCCCCGCCGGGTTTTGCAGCAGGTGCATGGGCACCGCCGGGCACAGGTTGCAGGGCGGGGCGGGGCGGGGTGGCACGGGGAACCGCTGCACCAGGGGGTGGGGCCCCGAGGCAGGGCCCGGCAGGTGCACGAGCCCCGCCGGGTTATGCAGCGGGTGCACGAGCACCGCCGGGTTTTGCAGCAGGTGCATGAGCACCACCGGGTTTTGCGGCAGCTGCACGAGCGCAGCCGGGTTTTGCAGCAGGTGCACGAGCCCCGCCGGGTTTTGCAGCAGGTGCATGAGCACCGCCGGGCACCGGTCGCTGGGCAGGGCGGGGCGGGGTGGCAGGAGGAACCGCTGCACCGGGGGTGGGGCCCCGAGACAGGGCCCGGCAGGTGCATGAGCACCGCCTGGTTTTGCAGCAGGTGCACGAGCCCCACCGGGTTTTGCAGGGGGTGAACGAGCCCCGCCGGGTTTTGCAGCGGGTGCACGAGCCCCGCCGGGTTTTGCAGCGGGTGCACAAGCCCCGCCGGGTTTTGCAGCGGGTGCACGAGCCCCGCCGGGTTTTGCAGCAGGTGCACGAGCCCCGCCGGGTTTTGCAGCAGGCATCCTGCAGCGGGGATGGCAATTTCTTTCTGATAGCCCGGGGGGTGGTACTGGTCGCATTGTTCTGAAAAGCACCGCCAGTGGATGTGGCAGTCTTAGGGGACCATAAGACTGCCGAAGGAGGTTTTATTACTTATTTTGCTTTTGGGGTCACACCAGGCGATGCACAGGGGTTACTCCTGGCTGTGCACGCAGGAATTACTCCTGGCCCTGCGCAGGGGACCACGGGGGATGCTGGGAATCAAACGCAAACGCCCTGCCCGCTGCACTATTGCCCCACCCCCCAGGAGGAGGTCTGAATGTTGCCAGAACCTTTGAAAACAAACCGAGGTTCAGTTCGAGTTTTAAGGCACTGGTCCGTGCACGCTGGCACCACCTACAGTCCCCTGAGCAAGCCAGCAGGGACACCTGAGAACAGAGCCAGGAACAGCTCCCAAGCACATGGGGGACTCCGCCCCCCACCCCCAAATTCCCTGTAAACGAACAGTGAATTACCTAATTGGCAAGGAAGGTTCGTTTAAATGACCTAATTTTCAATTAGGTCATTTAAAAACTATAAATGAAAGGCAAATTACCTAATTGGCAACGAAGGTTCATCATTTACTTCGTGAAACATAAATGGATTACAGTGGAATGAATGAGAATGACCCACAGCAATATTTGATTACCCCCCAAAAATGGTTAGAGCCATTTTAGGGATTATATGAGAGCAAGTTTGGAAAAGAAAGCCAAGAAAAATGTATAAATGCATCTGGAAATGAAAGCATCTAACTGGCAAGTAGCTGGGAGAAGAGAGAAACACAGAATTTTTTGTTGTTGTTGATAAGAAGTCATTCAAAATCTTCAGGAAAAAGTATAATTGCTGCTAACACATAAGGGTAGAGTAAATGCTTTGCACATTTGAAAACTAAAACCAATCCCCTAGAATACCCGAAATCGCCTATACTAACTGCAATTCCCGAACTGCAAGGGAAGCCCGTATTTAAAACAAAATATTGGGCCACAACAATAGTAAAGTGGGTAGAGTGCTTGCCTCACAGGCCTCTGACCCAGATTAAATCCCAGCACCCTGAATTGTTCCCAAGCCCCATCAGGACTGATCCCTGAGCACAAGGAGTAAACTTTTCAGGTTTGGCACAAAAAGCAACAACAAAAGCAAGAAAATTTAAGTTTTGTCTCTTGTTCACTTAGGAAGAAACATAGTAATCATGTTGGTCACTGAGGGCAATCCACGCTGCCATGCCAGAAAAAAAAATGTCACGTTAAGTGGAAATACTTTTCTTCATGACCTTTCTCTATGTTTGTGAAGTTTGGGGAAGTGCAAAAATAAAGATTTTTATTTTTATTTATTTTTTTGCTTTTTGGGTCACACCTGGCGGTGCACAGGGGTTACTCCTGGCTCTGTGCTCCGGAATTACCCCTGGCGGTGCTCAGGGAACCATATGGGATGCTGGGAATCGAACCTGGGTCGGCCGCGTGCAAGGCAAACACCCTACCCGATCTGCTATCACTCCAGCCCCAAAGCAAAGATTTTTAGATGCAAAAAAAAAAAAAAAAAAAGAGAGAAGAAAGTGGCAGTGGTAAAAAGAATCAGGGCTGGGAAGATGGCGATCGTAGATCAAATTCAGAAATCTAAACTTTCTCCCTCCAACCATATAATCTAGAAACCTTGTAACACAGGGCAAAATCTCTGATTTTGCAAGGCAAGATAGCTGAGCCACTTGGCAGTGACTAGGCCTTAATATTAATGCACATCCGAAATTTTCAACAAAACAAAATGAAGAAAAGATGAAGAGCCTTATTACGTTGGATAAACTTTTTTTTAAGTTCTTCTGGGCAAAATTATAAAAAGACAAAAAGGGCCGCATATTCTTCATCTGGCTATTAATGAACAGACATTAGAGAATAACACAAAGATGAACGTGATCATTGCTGTTTATATAAATGGCAGAACTAGATTTGTTCCTTTAAAAATAAAACCAAATGAAAATAGTTGTAAAATTATTTTACAATTCCATGCTACAAGCAAGAAGTAATTCCCAGTTACCCTGCTTAAAAAATATCCCCCTACACAATATAAATACCAGTACTGTAAGTAAACTTCATTAACCACAAATCCAGGACCTCACACAAAGAATATGCACTTTCACGGAATCACATCCACAGTCCATAATCAAATTCTGAATAGCAGTATACATTCATGGTACTACCCCACCCCGGAAGTCCCCAGTTTCTGTTCAGGGCTGATTCCTGGCTCGGCACTCAGGGATCACTCCTGCCATGGGATACAGAAGAGAAACCAGGTCAGATGCATGCACTAACACCCAAGAATAGTAGAGATAAGTACCAGGAGGTTTGCTCCACGACTTGGAAGCTGGCCTCACATGCAGAGGGAAAAGGCAGCTCAGATAGAGAAGGGAACACAAAGTCAAGGGTGTTTAGAAGGCCTGCTTGGGATAGGAGATGCGTGCTGAAAGTAGACTACAGAACAAACATGATGGTCATTCAATCCTTGCATTGCAGACCACAAGACCCTAAAAAAGAGAGAGTAAAAGGAAATGCGCTTGCCACAGAACTGGGGAAAGGTGGGGAGAACAGGGATACTGAGAACGTTGGTGGTGGAGAATGGGCACTGGTGGAGGGATGGGTACTTGATCATTGTAGAACTGAAATGCAAGCACAAAAGTTTGTCAGTCTGTAACTGTACTAACGGTGATTCATTAAAAACTAATATATAAAAAAGAAAAAAAATAAGGGTCAAGAAAAAAAAGTGTCACCCATTGTACTATCTCTCCTGGCCCCTTCATGGTAGGTATAACGGAAATGATACACCTTGAAGGGTTTCTTCTGATCAAAGATGAATTCATATTTCAATTGAGCATTTATTTGCTAGAGAACTAACATATCTGTATTTTGAGAACTGATGCTTAAAATCGATATTGTTTCCTACATGGATTTGCCTCATTAGCAAGTTGTTAGTAAGACCAGAAGCCTCTACAAGCATAGCTCGAGTATGCGGGAACTAGGACTTTTCCTCCAAACCGCGCGGCCACTTATGCGGCTGCGCGACATCTCCATATATACAAAGTAAACAATGGAAAGTAAATCATCCAACGTTTCTCCCTGAAAATCAAGCTTAACTCTTATACAAACCACAACACCCAATAGGAAAGAGAGAACAACAGGGAATGGACTGCCGCAGAGACAGGATGGGTTGGGGGATTGGACAGATACTGGGATACGCGGTGGTGGGAAATGGTCACTGGTGGAGGGATGGGTATTCAAAATAAATAAATTAATTGAAAAAAGAAAGAAAGAATAAAGTCTCTAATTCTTTCTAAATTTTAGGTGGTGAGGCAGGTAGGAGGGTGTATCTCTGATCAGACCAAGGCAGAAACACAGATAGCCATGGTGTGCCATGACACTGAACCAGACCCCCAAGTGCTAGTTAATACACTTCCTGTTTTTGTTTTTGGGGTTTTGGGTCACACCCGTTTCTGTTCAGGGTCTATTCTCAGAAAGGGGCTCCTGTAGCCTGAATCAAACCAGATTTCTGTGCTAGACACATGATCAGTCCCGTTAAGCCATATCTCCAGCTCGAGGAATGTCTTTTCAAGAGGAAACGGAAAAAGAATGGTGACATTGTTCATTATGATACAATATAGAATCTTATCATAGAAGTTTCCTGAACCAGTAGAAAAAATATGTTGGGGGCTGGGGTGGGGTGCTTCCCTTGCTTGTACCTGGGTTTGGTTACTGATATGCATATGGTACCTTGAGAACTGCCAGGAATGAACCTCGAGCAGAGCTGGGATTAAGCTTTGAGAAACACAGGTATGACCCCAAAACAAAAGCTAATCAATAAAAATTTGTTGGGAAAGGGCCTTCAGAGAATCAACATTATAAGATTTTACCCTCCAACCAGCATTCACATCACAAGACAGGGGCAACTATGAGCCACTGGATTTCCTGATGTGAAGAAGCAAGATTACACAAATCGAATAAAGTGTTCTTGTCACAGATATGTTTTATTGGGAGGAGGTTTGGGCCACACTATGGGTGCTCAGGAGACCATATATGGTGCCAGGGAACTGACCATGAAAAAACTGGGATCAGTGGCATACAAAGTAATCACATTACCATCTATTAACCTCTGCATGGTCTCCGGATCTGTTGGATTTTAAAGGCACAGATAGCAGGGTCATTAGTATTGGATACAAAAATTAAAGATTATCATCAGTCTCAAATAATTGTTATTTTTAAATTTTGGGGTGAAGGGGATTAAAACCAGGGCATCAAACATGTAAGGAATGTGTTCTAACTCGAATGATGGAAGACAGGGAGGACTGGGAATAACTCTGAGCATTGCTAGATGTGGCCCCTACCAAAATTAAAATAATAATAATAATAAGAGCAAAACTGGGAGAGCGAGAGTGATGGTGGAGCAATTGCCTTGCATTCAGTCCACCCAGTATTCCATTACGGTTCCCTGAGCACCTCTAGGAGCGATGCAAAAACCAAAACCAAACAAAGTTCGAAAAGGGAGCATATGAGGAATCTGTGATTCATTATATAATTTACTTATTTCGTGTAATTCTTATTTGTGTGTGGGAGGGGGATAAAGTGGAGTAGCGGGAGAAATACTATCCCTGCTCCCATTTCTTCAATTTTTCATCAAAAAAATAAGCAGGAGTAGAGGCTGGAGAAATACTACGATGAGTGTTTCCCTTGCATGCCTTTGCCCTGGGTTGGGTCTCCCTATCCCATATAATCCACTGACACCCAGGAAGAGAAATCCCATGAAGAGGCAGAAGGAACCCCACACACCACTGGGTGAGGTCCCCAAATAAAAAACAATAATAGAGAAAAATGAAACAAAACCAGGAGTGGCAGAGACAGCAAATGGATCACAGCGCTCGCCTAGCTTGTGGCCCATCTCGCTCGACTCCTGGAATCTCATAGGGTTCCCCCAGCATCAGGAATGACGCACAAGCACAGAGCCAGAATTACACCATGAGCAAATGATCATGAGAAAATTGGACCACAAGCATTGAAGAGCCTCAGAACTCAAAAAGAGCAAAACCTAATTAAGTCAAATACGATACGAAAATTTCTCTCATTTCAGTAGAAACCAGTTTTATTTTTTCTCTACTAAAATGCAGTCTAGAAGGACCTATTAAGAGATCTTCCGGTGTACTCATGTATCTGTGCCCTGGCTGGAGCAGTGGAGTGAGATATTCACTCCCTCCACGGTGCTCTGCAGCTGTGGTTCCCCAGTCACCCCTCCACACAAACCAGGCTCTCTTGCTATTTTCTCATTTATAAAGCCTTGTTATGTTGCTTTGGACAACCAGACAGGCGACCGAATGTAACTTGCCCACACGTCAGAGTCTGGCAAGCTCTCTGTGGCTTACCCAATATGCCAAATACCAGTAACAACGATGGGTCTCATTCTCCTAACCCTGAAAGAGCCTTGAATGTGGCGCTTTTTAGAATCTCAGGGCTAGGATGAAGGAGACGTTACTGGGGCCTGCTCGAGGCAATCGACGAACAACAGGATGATCGTGATCGTGATGAAGCCTTCAAACCAGCCACACTAGTATTTTGCCTCCTGACTTTTACACTTGCTATTTCCTCTTTCTGGAGTGCTTTTAATTTTTTACTTCAATAGAACTGACCCGTGAGTCTAGAGCCCCAATTCTCATTTCCATTAAGAAGCAAGTGCCGGGCTGGAGTGATCGCATAGCGGGTAGGGCGTCCGTTTGCCTTGCACGCGGCCAACCCTGGTTCGGTTCGCAGCATCCCATGTGGTCCCCTGAGCACTGCCAGGGTTAATTCCTGGGTGCAGAGCTAGGAATGACTCAAAAAGAAAAAAACAAAAGTGACTTATTCTTAGTCAATTTTCTACTGACAACCCCAATCAATGAATTCTTCTTCTAGGGCCAGAGAGTCAGAGGTTAGACAGTCTAAAACATGCCTGGCCTATAAGAGGCCCACATTGAGCACCCCCCCCCCCACTATCCTATAATTAGTTCCCCACACCTCCCAGTGTGGCCCCCAAACCAAAATAAAATGGTTAAGACTTCTTTCAACCTATATACAGCTCATTGGAACAGTAATTAGCTGAAACAAACATACAAAATCTTCCACAGAACTCTCTACCCTTTAATAAATGGCTACATGTCCAACAGAATTGTGACAATAGTGAAACAGTAATAATATTTGTTCATTGGATTACTTATATTGATGCTAAAAAGGGAAATCCAGAGGTAAGTACCAGGAGGTTTACTTCATAGCTTGGAGGCTAGCCGCACACGCTAGGGGTAAGGGCAGCTCAGATAGAGAAGGGAGCACCAAATAAAGGGTGTTGGGAAGATCCACTCAGGATGGGAGATGCATGCTGAAAGTAGACTATAGACCGAACATGATTGCAGCTCAATGCCTCTTTTGCAGACCATGACCCAAAAGGAGAGAGAAAACAAAAGGGAATTCCCTGCCACAGAGGCAGGGTGGGATGGGGAGGATGGGGGGTTGGAGGGATAGGTACTCGATCATTGTATAACTGAAACCCAAGCAAAAAAATTTGTAAGTCTACAACTGTACCTCAAAAAAAAAAAAAAAAAACGAAATCCAGAAAGTTGTGAAGGAAGTGACATTACTTTATCTATGTCAAAGAGATAAATCGGATAGTATATCTTCAATATAGAGGGATCAAACAATAATTTATTTTTAAAAAGATAAAGAGATTAGAGCAATAGCTCAATGGGCAGGAGCACATGCTTTGAATGCAGTAAGCCAGGATTCAATCCAACACCTCACGGAAAACCAAGCACCACCAGGAGGTCTCCAACAACCCAAAACTAAAGAAGTCTGAAAGACAGGAGAGCTGAGGCATGAAGTACTGAGCCAGGAACATCCCCTAAGCACCAACAGGAGTATTTTCCGCTAAAAGAAAAGAATTCCACAAAAAGAAAGGAGAAAACCAAGAAGAAACACCCATGGCTCCTTTTTCTATATTGACTTTTAGTTTTGGTAGAAGTAGAATCAGCGCCTTCACTGAATATGACAAGAAACAAGGGCGCTTGCGTTGGACTCCGCATACCCAGGTCTAAGCCCTGGCACCCCCTCTATTCCCCACCTGAGCGCCAATGGCTGTGGCCCCCCAACAAAACAGAAACAAACAACATGCCTCATACAGAACACAATACAGGGGGATCCCCAGCACGAAATGTTACCTTGAGCATCACAGGGAGCAAATTTCCAACAGAACCAGGAGTCAGCCCCCAGCACTGACAGGCGTGGCCCACCCCAGACACAAACTCCAAAGCACTAAAAATTTCTTTTTTTTTTCCTTTTTTTGGGTCACACCCGGCCATGCACAAGGGTTCCTCTTGGCTCTGCGCTCAGGAATTCCCCCTGGCGGTGTTCGGGGGACCACATGGGATGCTGGGAATCGAACCAGGGTCGGCCGCGTGCAAGGCAAACAGCCTCCCCGCTGTGCTATTGCTCCAGCCCCTGGTGTGTATTTTTGATTTAATTTTTTTTTTCTTTTTGGGTCACACCCAGCGATGCACAGGGGTTCCTCCTGGCTCATGCACTCAGGAATTACTCCTGGCGGTGCTCAGGGGATCCTATGGGATGCTGGGACTTGAACACGGGTCCGCCGCGTGCAAGGCAAACGCCCTAACCTGCTGTGCTATTGCTCCAGCCCCTAAATGCCTCAAAAAAAAAAATCAAGAAAGAGACCCCACAGAACCCCAGATTGCCATCTCAGAGAGCGTAGCACAGACTAAGGCGAGAAAGAGCAGCTGGGCAAGAGCGTCCAGCACCCGAGACCAAGGCCCTCACCTCCAAGCGGTGACGACTTGCTGTGGTTGGCCGTCGGGGTGCCCTTGCGCTTGACCCGGGGCAGGAACTTCTTCTCCACGGCCCTCACTTTGTGGGCGAGCACCTCTGTCATCAGAGCGGCCCTCTTCTTGCCCGACCGGGGCACGGGCTGGGTGAAGCGTTTCCTCCTTCGCAGGCGGGGCCGCAGCACCTCGACGGCCCCCGCCTTGACCTTGGCCTCCATCCCTGCAGTGGAGCCAAACTCGTCTGTGTCCGAAAGTCTGTACAGGGGCAGCACGTGCAACTGCTCGTCTTGAGGGATGACGCCCAACTCACGGTTATCTTCTCTGGTCAAAGTACAGACCTGAGTGGGAAGAGAGGGGAGACACAGGTCTGGAACGTCCACCGGGGCTCGGCCTCCGTCTGAGCTGTCTGCCCTGGACCAAGTCTCCGCAGTCCCATCTCATTCTGAATGGGCATGGCCGGGTCACTCACTGCCTTCTTATCAAACATTCAGAAGCTATTAGTTCAGAGTGATCATTTTCGACTCTTATCGTCACGCTGGGAATCGAACCCGGGTCGGCGTTCTCTAGCCTAGCTTTGGACAGAAGCTGAGTGTTGAAAGGAGGTGAAGGAATATCCCTGATGGTCTTTCAGTATTTGCACTACAAATCATGATGCCCAAAGAAAGAGGGAGGGAGGGAGGGAAGGAGGGAAGAGGGGGAGAGAGGGAGGGAGAGAGAGAGAGAGAGAGAGAGAGAGAGAGGCCTGCCATACAGGCTGGGCGGGGGAGGGAAACTGAGGATATCAGTGGTGGGAAATATACACTGGTGAAGGGAGGGTATTGGAACATTAGATGACCGAAACCCAATCGTGAAGAACTTTATAACTGTGTCTCTCACTTTGATTCAATTAAAAATTTTAATTAAAAAAAAGTTACTAGTGTAACTTATTGACCACTCTATTCCATTCCTTTCTAACTTTTTGTGTTGTTTTTGGGCCACACCTAGCAGTTCTCAGGGAACCATATGCAGTGTAGAAGAATGCAAGGGTCTCTCATGTGAAAGAACAGTGGCCTGTCTGGTGTAGTATATCTCTGGCCCTAAAAATTATATCAATAGTAATAAAATTTCAAATTTCATTAAAAATTCATTAAAAGTGCTTGAGAGATAGCTCGCAGTGTCAGCATGCACTTCATAGGTCCCAGTTTAATCTCTATACCAAAGAGATGGTGCCATAAGGATCCCTGGGAATCACCTTTGAACACAGAACAGGAAGTAGCTTCCAGCTGCCTTGGTGTTGGTCCCCAAACAATCAAAAAAAAAAACAAACTTCTAAAAGTTTTAAATGAAGCCACACCAAATAATTTGAAGACTTAACTTAAAAGACAATCTTTTCTAATAAGAAATGTTTTGATTAGTTAAATGTTTAAAAAACAATTTTTCAGGGACAATAAAAGTAACGAGACAAAAATCAGATATAAGAAAAATAGAGACTCTGGGGAAAATGGGTGAACCACGAGTAGAAGAGTAGAATACATTAGAATAGAATAGTAGAGAGTAGAACAGTAATATTTGAAGTGTACTTGTGTCCAGAGTGATAGCACAGCAGGTAAAGCACTTGCCTTGCACACAGAAGACCTGTGTTGTCCCCTGAACAATCAGGAGTGATCCGTGTGTGCAGAGCCAGGAATAAGCCCTGAAAAGACTTATTCCAGGAATAAGCCAGGTATGGACCAAGCCTCAAAACCCCAAACTAACCAACTAACCAAAACGAACAAAACCAACACCAAAACCGAATGTGTTCAGGGACGTAGAAATGGGGAAGCTTTTAGTTGGGACATACTATTGCCATGTATCTCACTGAGTGAGAAACCAGGGCAATGCAAAAAACACTAATGAATATATTATAGAAGAAGAACCAAAAGCTTGGAATCAATCAAACTAGTACAGAGCCAAAGTAAGGTGATAAATCTTTAACCTATTAGATGAATTAATTTGACTTACAAGCTGAGAAAACAATTATTTGAAGCAAATTCATTTCTCACTAAAAGGGCTACTCCATCATTCCTGCCAGCACCTAATATGTAATTTCAGCTTCTCTTAACTGGTCTCAGATTGAAGCACAACAAACTCAAATTATGGAGTAGGGAGTGTTTACATACAGTGGTGCTCAGGGCTTACTTCTGCTTCTGAGACCAAGAATTTCTCCTGGTGGGCTCAGGGAACCGTATGTGGTACCCTGCATGATCTTTCAGCAAAAATATTTTTGACAATATAAATTTACATATGGCTTCATTAACTGCAATACTCATTAGGCAATTATATAGTGAACTGCAATAACCCTTGGAAGCTGAGGCTGAATCACCGGCATAGCTGCTCAGTCAACAGGCAGCTCTGTGGAGAGCTGAGCAGAGGCCAGCCTGGGCAATGGTAGGTCAGTTGCCACGGGCTCCCTCACTACTGCTAGAAGCCAGGTCTAATAAACCAGGTGAAGCTCTGGGTCCCCCATACCTCCCAGAGACTCTGAAATAATGCAGAGTCCTACAGTCTGATATCAGTGACAAGGACTAAAGCAAGAAACCCAGTAAAAGTCAAAAGCGAAGCAGCAGCCATTTGGGCTGCAGAGATTCCACTGGGCTGGAAGTTTCCCTTGCAAATCTCTAACCTGGGCTGAGTCCCTGTACCACTTTTAGTCTGTGAGCCCCTAGCAGGAACGATCTCTGAGTCCAGAGCTGGATGAAGCCAGGTGAAAGCTATAAGCACCTTCAGGAATGGCTCAAAAACCAAAATGTTAAAAACCAACATTAAAAAAAAGAAAAAAAAAAAGAAAGCAAAAACCCAACAGCAGCAGTTTGAGTTTGACCTGTTTGACCTGTGCCATGAGGAGTTTAACCAGCTGTGCAGTGTGATGTGAAACCAGGATTACCAAAATCTGCATGATGGTTTCAGAGAGGTGATAAAATACTACAGATTTCGGTTAACCTCATAAGGAAGTTCAAATGGAAAACATGAAATCGCTGTCTGTTAATCAGCTAAACGAGAAAAATGAATAAAATGGGGCTAAACTGCAAACACTCAATGGCTAGAGCACAGGCAGGAGCTTGGGTGTCATCTCTGATAAACAGGATCCAAAGAACACCCAGAAGTGACTCCCAGCCCAATCAGGCAGAGCCCAAGAAGCAAAAATAAATCGATAAAAGACAAATATAAGGCATAAAAACTGCAAGCCACCAATTAAACTTAGTCTCTATCATTATATATAATACTCCGATATCAGTCATTGATCTGGTACAGAGGTTTCTCAAAGTACTTTATATAATTTTTATAGATCACTTCTATAAAAATTAAATATATGATTTTTATAAACCAGTAATCCCATCGAAGAGTACAAATACTTATCCTGGTTCAGAACCTGAGCCCAGCAGGAGCTGGCCAGATACATACCACAGTGCTTCCATTGTTCATGTTGTGGATGTCCCTGTGAGGATGGGCGCAGAAGTCCAGGCAAGCAGTGACCCCAGAGAAAGGGCGACCCTCTTTGGTTCCAAGCCGACATTCTCGGGCAATGTGTTCATTTTCCACCTGGAAAAAGAAAGCACGGAAAATGGTTCTGAAGGGCAGATTGACCCTCGTTACAGAAAACAAACAAACAGCAACAACAAAACCCACAACTTTCTGGCAAATTAACAAGATCTGGTCATTTCTGCCCATGTGGTTTAACAACCTAGAGAGTTGTTAAAGAGTTTTAGGACAGGGGCCAATCGATAGGACAGTTTCATCCCCAGCACACGGGTCACTGCCAGAATTGATCCCTGAGTGCAGAGTCAGGTGGGATTTGGCCCCAAAACAAAGTAAAACAAAACAAAAACAGTGTTTGAGGACACATGGACAAGAATGACACTTACATAGACTATAATCATTGTGGGGTATGAGAACGGGCAGCCTGAATTATTACACACGAGGAGCAGCAAGGAGAGTACGGTGGGTGGGGCATTTGCCTTGCATGTGGCCAACCCAAGTTGGATCCGCGGCACCCCATATGGTCCCCCAACACCACCGTGAGTAATTTCTCAGTACAGAGCCAGGAGTCATCCCAGGGCATCGCCAGGTGTAACCCAAACAGCCAAAAGGAGAAATAATTCTTACATGAGTAAGGGCAAATGCAGTGCATTAGGAACATGGAGATGACATGCCTAGTGAAGGCTGAGATGCACATTATTTGTGAGTTAGTATCCTGAGTAAACTTATATATTTTAACCCGCTCCCTTAAATAATGGCTTTTAGAATTCAGTGTAAATAAATATACAGAATAAATTCGAAGAATTGGTCACATATAATCTTTGGTTTTGTTTTTTTGTTTTGTTTCTTTGGGCCACATCAAGTAATGCTCAGGTTTCAAATAGTTTCCTATTGGTCATTTAAAATTTTTTTGTTGTTGGCATCATATCTGATTGTGCTTATAGCTCTCTCCTGGTAATGCTCAGGGATCCTATGTTTTTGATGGAACAAACTGAGTTTGCCTTGTGGAGTGCAAGTTACTTCCTCTTCATTTCCCATGGCCCAGAGGTGCTTGAATGTGGATGACCATATTGAATTGGGTCTGGAATGTATAAGGCAAGCCTGAGCCCTCTGCTCTCACCCGGAGGCAGAACCAGAGTGAATGCTTTACAATCCTACACTGGGACCACACTGGGTGGTGCTGTGGGTAGGGACATGTGGTGCCAAAATTGAGAATGCAGGGCCCTTAACATGTTAAGCACATGCTCTTATCACTAAAGCTTTCTCCCTGGCTCCTTGGTGATCTAACCTGTCCCCTAATTTGGTACTCACACTCCAGACTGTAAGAGATGTGTCCCTGAGCTCAGGGGACCGCATTTGACTGTGTGGTCAGGGGCAATACCAGGCAATTCTCTGGGGACCCCATGTGAGACTGCAATTTGAATCACGGCGGTGGCTGTAGTACCTTACTAAGTCCCACTAGCACTCTGGGGGCAGATAGACAATTTTTTAATTTATTTATTTTTATCATGATTATTAATATCTGAGAAATACAAGCATTGTTTGAAAATATGGAATACTGGTTAAATTCAACCATTAAATTAGTTTGTGTGTGTTTCTCAGTATTTTTTAAATAGATGATGACACCAGTGAGAAGAAATAGAGATGGTTTTACCTTTTATTTTTGGGCCTGGATTTTTTTGACTTTGCCTAATTGCTCAGTGAAGAATATCCATAATGCATTTAAGGCCTTTGCCAGGTGGGGCCTTTCCATATTGCTCTTAGTTTTGAATGATTTTACCATGAAATAATGTTGAATTTGACAAGTGCTATTTCGATATCTACAAATGTGTCATGTATGATGTGGTTTTAGGGTTTTTTGTTTTGTTTTCTTTTTGGGTCAGACTCATTGGTGCTCAGGGTTTACTCCTGGCACTCTGGAATTACTCCTGGCAGTGCTAGGAGTACCACCTGGGATTCAGGAGCTAGAACTCAGGGAGGCCGCAGTTCCCCAAAGGACTCATTTTGTAAAAGCTGCCTGATCAAAATAGATACAAGTTTGAAGTCAAATCTGAAAAACCTTTAAAGATAATATTGTTTATATAGAGAGGATCAGACACAGTAACAACAAAGTCTCAAATGGAGACGTTACTGGGCCTGCTCGAGCAAATCGACGATCAACGGGAGGGTCTTTAATTTTAATTTAATTAGAGATGCTCATGTTAATAGCACGGAATAAAGATCCAAACGTACCTGATTTTGGTAAGCAAGGGGTGCATACTGCTTGTAAATAGGAGCCAATTCATTAGCCAAACTCTGCAAATTATCTTCAAGGTTTTTTTCCTATAGAAAAGACAGTCCATAAAAGTGATTTCATAATGAGATATTAAGTTAATGACACGAATGAAATCAGATGTGTTTTTGCAGTTGTTTACGTAGTGCTTAAATTATACTTACCATGAAAAGTAACTAGCCACAGGAAAAAACTGAAGCCCATTAGTTATTATAAAACCCTAATATATTAGCAATTATTATGGATTACATTTTTTGGTGAAACCAGTGACTGAAATCAGGGCCAAGCAAATGTAAGACATGAGTTCTACCACTTGGCCACTCAGAAGGAGAAACTTTTGGCGGTGTATATCGGTAACATATCCAGCGGTGTGAGGTTACTCTTAGCTTCGTGTTTGGGGAGACAATGCATTGTTGAGAATAGACTCAGACCACCTTCATACAAAGAATGTGTTCAGTCAATTGAGCCAGCTGTTCTGAGTTAATAAATATATTTTTGGGCCTGGTGGTACTCGGGGGACCGTATGGGATGCTGGGAATTGAACCCAGATTGGCTGTATGCAAGGCAAATGCCGGACCAGCTATAAAATCTCACCAGCACCCCTAATTCACATTTTTACATGGTATCTTCTTATAAATGGAGGGGCCAGCATGATAGCACAGTGGGGAAGGGCGTTTTCCTTGCAAGCAGCTGACCTGGGTTCAATCCCCAGCATCCCATATGGTTCACCTCTGCACTGCCAGGAGTAGTTCCTGAGTGCAAAGCCAGAAGTAACCCTGTGCATCTCTGGGTGTGACACCCCTTCCCCCACCATAGGAATTAGAGCTAAATTGAAAAGCTCTTCACTTCAATTAAAAAACTGATCACTCCTGCAGGCTGGGGGACCCCATAGAGAGCCTAGGACTCAACTTGGGAGTTCAAGGAAATGGCCTACTGGTTGTACTGCCACTCTGGCCCCCCAGAGGATCATAGCTCAAGAACCGTAGGAGCTGTACTATCTCTCGGACCCATGACCTTTCAAAAATCTGGATATCTATATGTAAAAGAAACATGAGATTTGGAAAGAAAGACAATGAGACTATTAAGCCAAGTGTATGCTTATGCACTGCCAGACCTGAAAAACCTCCATCCCCCACAAAAAAAAAAAAGGAAAAGGAAAAAGAAATGAGAGTCATGTCTTTGTTTTGAGATTTGGTGCATGGGCATGTGAAAAACACACAAAACTTTTCACATAAATGAATGATCCTTAAAGGTAAAGGCCCTCCCGTTGATCATCGATTTGCTCGAGCGGGCCCAGTAACGCCTCCATTGGAGACTTTGTTGTTACTGTGTCTGGCATATTGAATCCTCAGATATTTATGTGATAATTACCAAATTCAAAACCAGCCATTTAGACTTAGAGGTCAATTCTTGAGTACTTTCATAAAGTCTCTCTGTGATGGCAAAGCATCATTAATAACTACTTTTTTGCTGTTTGTGTTGTTGTTTTTATGAAGAAGAAACCCACGAAGTGCATAGGCACTGTGTATCTAGATGATAGCTTTCTATTTAATGTTCTACTTATATATATATCACTAAATAGAGCTTAATCATAATAAATCTGATCTGATTTTTAAAAAGATTTTGGGATCATACTCAAAAGATTAATCATTCAATTTATTTGAAAAAACATTTAAATTATGATTTAAACACCTATCTACAGGATTTGAGTAGGTAGAAAAATTGTGTTTTCAGGTAAGCAGGTCATCATGATCATCAAGGACCACTAATCAGATTGATTAAGGTGTCATTTTATTTAATAAGTCAATATGTTGAACAGGAAACTAAAAAAAAATTAAGGTTAAGAAGTCACCTACTGGCATCCTTTAATTCACGTTCTGTATTAGAAAATTGTGAATTTAAACTGTTTTATAAGAATGATCTAGCAGTTTTGACCTGGCAGGTTTCAGCCCGAAGGATTGGAGTGCATGCTTTGCTTTCAGAAGACTCAGAGTCATTCTTCAGCACTGTATGGTCACCGGAGTACTGAGCCATGATCAGTGCAAGCACCAATAGGCTTGACAATAAAAATAAAACTAGGTTCATTTTTACATATTCTTTACTCAGGAACCTACTCTACGTTCCACAGTGCTCCTCATCCTGCACTTGGTATTCAGTACCATCCATTTACATTAATGACTGTAATTCCACCTGGAGAACTTATTGATTTTTCCTTATCTAGTATACCTCCTTGGACTCCCTGGAGGAATCTATCTCCCAATGTGACAAAACTGAATTCCTATGTGTCCTCAACAAGTCTGATCCTCTATCAAAATACATTATGTTCAGAAACAAAAGCACGAGGCAAAATTTAAAAAATATTTGTAATCAAACACTGATGACCAAATTCAAATATCAACTGTTAATAATATACCAACTGTTAATCATATGCCAAATTAATATCAACTGTTTCATGAACTATTTTTTTTTCTTTTTTGGGTCACACCCGGCGATGCACAGGGGTTACTCCTGGCTGAGCACTCAGGAATTATTCCTGGGTGTTGGGAATCAAACCCGGGTCAGCCGTGTACAAGGCAAATGCTCTACCCACTGTGCTATTGCTCTAAATTGCTCTAGCCCCCTCATGAACTATTCTTACACTCAACTCATCTTGAGAAAAACTACTCTTATACATTGCCAATCTAGTGTTCAAAGAGCAGTGAGAGATCTTTTTAATCCCTCTTCTCCTTAAATCTCTTTGATACTCAATTCCTGCATTGGTTGACAAGGCTGTATGTGCAGCTTTTCCTTGCCCTGTTAAGCTTCATTTCATTTTGTCTTTCAGATCCTGGAAAGAACAATACTTCATGTCTTTTAAGCACTATACAAATGTTAGTTACTATAGTAGTAGCCTCAAGCAAATCTGACATTACATTTGTTGATTATATAACTGTCATTGTTACAGAATAAATATTTAATGGCCAAGTCAATACTATTAATAACTTTCTATGCTAACAAACAGGTAAATCAGAAATTATTAGACTGAAAACTTATTGGATTATTTTAAGGGCGAAAGGTCATCACATTATGACTGGTTCTGACCATTAAACATGGCACAGTGTCAATGTGATTCGCATTCAATTAACTTTACTAAAAGTTTTATAGTTTTCTTCCTAAAGGTCAATAATTTCACCTTAGACTTAATTTACAGTACTTCATCCGCAAAGCACAGTTCACTCTCATTTCCTCATTTCACTGCAGCAGCTGGGAACTCTACAAAATATCAGAGTTTTGATTATCTTTGCAAAGGCTTCCTAAGTATTTCTAAACCTTCTCATTGTATTACAAATATGAATGGATTAGTAATTACTGGGTTTCTTTGGCCTCCAAATAAATTAAAACTTGTAAATTCTATTTTATGCCCATCTAAAAATTTCTAATCGTACACTTGATGTTTTTCTAACATCTACCGTAGTGTCTTCCAAGCTGTGTGCTATGACTCATTAGAAGTTCTTGAAACCGGTTTATTGCAATACATTTTTAAAAAAGGCAATAAAATCATATAAAAATATACTGCACCATAAAAATGTCACAAAACATCTTGGATAATAAATTTTCCAGGTTTTAATATTAAATTTGTTACATCTAATGAAAGCATTATATTCTGATAGTTTTAAATTTTTTCACAGATGTCACTCTGTGGTTGCAGATTGTTTTTGTGTGATCTTAAAATATCTGGCAATGTTCTGGGGTCCATGTAGTACCAGGGATCCAACCTGGGCTTTTCCCATACAGAGTTCAGGCCACTGAGTCCTCTATCTGCCCCCCAAATGACATTTTTTATTCTGAGTCATAGCTCAAAGTTTGAAAAACACTAAATCTAAGAATTAATTGGTATCTAAATCTTCCCCAATGCAAACCAAGTATTCAAACGCCAATCTTAGTTGCTACAGGTGCCCAACCCCCACCCACTACCTACCCACCTCTTAGTTGTTAAGACTATGGAATGATACTAAAGGTCATTATTTGAATTAAAAGTGTAAGTACTAAATTTATTTAAACTTATCAGTAAGGTTGACTAATTTCTTTGCTCACCATGGCCTCTTGTCCCGGACAGATTCGATCCGGTTTCATATATCTTCTTTCTGGAATACGTCCTTTAGTAATTCTTTCATAGTAGCTCTGTGGGTGGTAAACTTTCTGAGTCTTTGAAATGTTGGCAAATGACTTAATTTATTCTTCCACTTTGGCTGGGTATAAATTTTGATGTCCTTTTAATAATGAGTCTTTCTTGGGGAGAGGGGGCCAGGGGCCGGGCACAACTAGAATTTGGGTTGAGAGCTTGATTCTTATCTAACTTATTTAAACTGGAAACTATTTACTTACATATATTTCTATGTTATCACTATCAGTTTTTAAGATATTTGTGAATTAACTATTTTTAAATAACGTACTTATATATTCATCATGTGATTTAAAAAATAGAAAAGAGCACTTACGTGTAAGGGAGAACTTGGATCAATTCTAAATCTTCTAGGGCTTGGACTTCTACCAAATTTGCAGCCATTAAAATACATACTCCACGAACAGCCGAAAGAAAAGGAAGCACCACAAGTTTCTGGATCAATCCCTTGACATACACAGGTCCGACTGTAATGGAATTTTAAGGGAATTGAAACTGACAAAGCAGGAAAATAGACTCTTTCAATTTTGCACTATCCTAAATACGGTGAATTAACTTATTTTAGCAAACAGGACTAATCACTGGGTTCAGAGCCAGGAGTAAGCCCTGAGTAAAATGGGATGACTCAGATCTCAAAAACCAAACAGGTCAGACTACAGAGTAATATGAAAGAAGGAGGGAGAAGTAGTTTAGCTGTTATTTTAAAAGTTTATCACAAAAGAAATATGGAAATATTATAAAACATCTTAAAATAGCAAAAACACTACTAAATGGGATAAGATTGCTTTTAAAAAGCTCTTAAAAGGGTCAAAAAATAGTATAGCCGGTAGGACATATGTCATATAGATAGCTGACCAGGGTTTGATTCCTAGCACCCTGTAATTACACACACACACACACACACACACACACACACACACACACACACATCTTTAATCACCAGGAGTTTGATCTCCAGGAGTAATCCCTGAAAGGAAAGCCAGGAAGCATCCCTGAACACCACCAGCGTGACCCCAAAACAAACAAACAAACAAGAGTAAGGATGGTAATGTAGCAACACTAAGTATATTAGTGTATCAAACTAGACCAGGGGCTGGAGTGATAGCACAGCAGTTAGGGCTCATGCCTTGCACACAGCCAGTCTGGGTTTGATCCCTGACCTGCCATATGGTCACCTGAGCACCAGGAATAATTCCCGAGTGCAGAGTCAGGGGTAACCCCTGAGGATCGCAGAGTGTGGCCCCAAAACAAAACAAAATGTATAAAAGCAGCTAATTAAATAAATTAATTTATACCTTAAAGGTAGGAAAATAATACACAATTCTTAGCTTTCCACTATCTAACAGCATAAATCTTAAAACCCACAGAGGCTGAGAAAAAAAAAGAAACCCAACCCAGGGCTGGCGTGATAGCACAGCAGGTAAGGCGTTTGCCTTGCAAGCAACCAACATGGCTGATCCAAGTTCGATTCTTCTGCCCCTCTCGGAGAGCCTGGCAAGCTACCGAGAGTATCTCGCTCACACGACAAAGCTTGGCAAGCTAGCCATACGTATCCCATATGCCAAACACAGTACCAATTGTCACAATGGAGACGTTACTAGGCCCGCTCGAGCAAATCGATGAACAACGGGAGGACAGTGACAGTGAACAGTGATGTACAAAATTAAAAAGCAGAGATAAGAGGAAATGGGACTGAGGATATGACTTAGCGGTAAACCTTATGAGAGGACGAAGGAAAGAAGTTTCAAATAAGGTAGATATAGATATTTTTAAAACCTTTCATTTGTAAATAGTGACAGTAAAATAAGAAGAAAGAAAAATCTTTAGAGGGGCTGAATGACAGAATAGCACCGAGGGTGTTTGCCCTGCATGTGGCTGCCCTGGGTTCGATTCCCTGCATCCCATATGGTCCCCTGACCACCGCCAGGAGGAATTCCTGAGTGCAGAACCAGGAGTAACCCCTGAGCATCACTGGGTGTGACCCAAAAAGAAAAAAAAAAGAAGAAAAAAGAAAAAACCTTGGAAAATATCTATATTTCTAGAAATCCTGCAGGATTTCTAGACCCCCAAATGCAGATACACTGTTAACAATCTTTTTGAATACTGGAATGGAAAAGAATGGAATATAAGAGATGGTTAATGTTAAAATAAAAGGTAGAGAGAACTGAATACAACAGTATAAAACAATTACAATCGGGACCGGAGCAATGATACAGCGGGTAGGGTGTTTCCCTTGCATGAGGTTGACCCGGGTTCAATTTCCAGCATCTCATATGGTCCCCCAAGCACTGTCAAGAGTAATTCCTGAGCGCAAAGCCAGGAGTAACCCCTGAGTATCACTGGGTGTGACCCCCCCCCCCCAAAGAAAGTCACTTAACACTGAGTAAATGGACAAATAAGCAAATGTGACAGCATAGCGCAATGGTTAAAGTCATAGGAAAGGACCCTTTCTCCAACAACGTGAGAGGAAATGCAAAACAGTACCTATAGGCAAATACTTTTCTTTTTCTTGGGGGTGGGGTGGGGGTCATACTCAGGGCTGCTTAGGGATCACTCCCTCAGGACTTTGGCACCATATGGGGTGTCATTGATGGGCCCATGTAGAACACACTCAAGGCAAATGCCATCAGCAGCTAAACCAATACTCTGGCCCATTTAAAATTTTATCTGAATATATATATATATATGCCAAACAAACTAAAATAACCCACTCTCCAAATCTTTTTTTTTTTTTTGGCGCTTCGTTGATGCTCAGGGGTTGCTCCTGACTCTGTGCTCAAGAATTACTCCTGGTGGTGCTTGGGGGAGCATATGGGATGCTGGGAATTGAACCCTGGTCGGCTGCATGCAAGGCAAACGCCCTACCTGCTATGCTATCGCTCCAGCCCCTCTCCCCAAATCTTAAGGGTGAGACAAGTCAGGTATCAAGGAGGTAAGGAGATAAAATCGAATATTCTAAAGACGAAGGTTGCAAAGGAGAACCTCTTACAATGGCATGATTCACTATGAACTTAAAGAAATATTTCTTCCTTGTGGTTCTCTTCTGTTGTCTGCTTATAGGCCTGAGTGGCAGAATATTGCGAAACAAATGATTACTTTTCATTCAGCGTGCATCTCCGGTCCGTGGGGTGACCGTTGTATGCCTTCAGGTTGTCCGTGAGCTCCGAGTACAGTCGGTTGGCCAGTGGGAGCGGGATGCCATCCCACACCATGATGAGCACCACAATCACGGCTGTGGAGCAGTGGTGGCCCGGGCGCCGTCGGACCAAGCAGAGGACTTTTTCTTCTTTGCTTCTTCTTCTTAATACCTGAAAGAAAAAACGAAAAAGAAAGAAAAGAAAGCATTTTTTTAATGGAAACAAACAACAACAAAAAAAAAAAACAGAAAGTAAAAAATAATGAATATTCCTTTTAACACTGTGTGTGGAGGCTGGAAGATAGCACAGCAGTTCCCCAATTGCCTGGCAGCTGCCCAACCTGGCCTTGATCGCTGGCAGCAGAACCATGAGTAAACCTCGAGCACATTGTTTTAGGGATAAAACAATGCAATTTCCATCGTTCAAGGGCTATAGAGATACCGCAGTGGACTAAGAACATGGTTCGCATTCAGGAAGTTCCATCCCAGGCAACCCGCTAGCCACTGAGAACCTGCAGGAGTAACCCACAGAGCCAGGCAATAATGTGCAGTATGAGGTCTCCCGCATAAGGAATGCCTGGGTAAGTCCCCAGCACTGCATGGTCCATGGAGCATCTGAGAGGGATCCCTGAGCACGGCTGGGAGCAGACTTTGGGCACTATAGGGAGTGGCCTCCCCCCAAAAATTAATTTGAGTGTTAGAAATTTTGCTCATCCATGCAAGGTATGAGCAAGGTTCAAAATCTTAAACTCTATTTCACCATGAGAGATCCCCAGCAGTAGCAACAACGAAGAAAGTAAATTTTGGAACCTGAGAAAATCATGAATGCTTCCCCAGGGTAAGGTATTCTGCTATATTGAGATTAATATTTAAAACAAAATTTTCGCAATACTTAAAATTTTCCATGTTCATAGGACAGAAGATACTAGCTCATATGCTTAAGGTTGTTCAAAAGCTGTGATGAATCCAAAATGCAGTTATTAGCGTTGAATATATATTCATTTATCTTATACTGTACTGTACCCATGGGCTAAAGAAAACATCACTGCAGGATTTAGGACCGCTGGTTTCTAAATTTGTGAATTGATCTCTGATGATGCCACGTACACAAAAAGTGTTCCTGGTGTTGTTTGTGGTTCCTGGCATGGAAAGTAATCTTCAACTGGGCGAGTCACGTATGTGTGAGCACAACAACCAAATGTGAGTGACCCTCGACAAGCACCACACGGTTTGGCGAAGATCAGAGGATGTACCAATGCACTCCAAGGCACCATTATCAGACCCTGAGCATCATTTGGTTTGTCCCTGGGGTCACCCAGCAAGGAAGGAAGGGGCTTTGCGGATGAATCCTCAGTCCCTTTCATTGATCTGTTGACTCTGCTGCCAGAAGGGCCCCCAGGGGCCCTGAGAAATACTGGGAGAAGAAAGGAAAAGGAAAAACGAAAGGAAGGGGGGGGAAAGGAAGGAAAAGAGAAAAATAAATCTGCACCACAAAGATTTGTAAATCTACAACTGTACCTCATGGTGCTTCACTAATTAAAAAAAAAAGAAAAGAAAAAAAAAAAAAAGAAAGAAAAAGTCCACAAAAGCTTCTTTACAACTGCAAGGTTTTTTTATTCACAAATAAAGGAGGAGAAAATTTCTAAACAAAAAAAAAAAAAGCACATTAAAATAAAATTATAGCACTTAAATATTTTTATAATAATGTGACATAACAGAAACACAGCATATCAAGTAATATAATATGTAATACCATAAGCACTATGCATGTTCGCATAATATGTAATTCTGTAATATTCAATGCCGTGCACATAAACACCATACCATAGCATATGTAACACTAAGCACCATAAAGTTTTGCTGTTACTGCGATTTTCAAATTTCTTAACACCAATATATTTTTTTAGGCTGTAATTGTTAACCTGCTTTTATCGGAAGAGCTTTCTCACCTAAATGACCTAAATTTAGGAAAGTTGAACTTATATGTGCATACTTTACAATGATGCATTGTAATAAAGACCACAATAAAATAAATAATGAAATAATGACCAATAAATAAATAAATAAATCTGCACATAATGTGAAACCTGCCCTAGCAGCACCCTCTCATTTAAGCAGCACAGCGGCTACAACCCTGTCATCACAACAAAACACGACAAGAAACGGAAACAGAACAGAGGGTCAATGAGCAAGTACTAAGTAAATGGATAAACTAAACATTGCTCATCGGAGTCCGCAGAGATAGTTCAAGTGGCACTTGTCTCGCACATGGTAGAACCTGCCTCAGATCCTGGACACCACCGTGTGACAACCCCCCCCTCCCCAAAAGCACAGTCCATTGCGACTCCCCCAATAATAAATGGCTAAAACTAAAGAGGTTTGTTAGAAAGTGTATGGTCTTACCTTGCTCCTGCTCAAACATACTGTTTTTGAAATTTAAGGAAAGTTTACTTTAAGAAATCTTCACAGGGGTTGGGAGAGAGAGTACAGCCAGTGAGGTCCACAACCAGAAGTGATCCCTTAGCACTGAGTAAGCCCTGAGCACTTCTCAGTATGGCCCAAACATTAATAACAAAGCAAACCAAAAAAATGACCCTTCCCAGGGCAGTACAGTAGAGCCCTTTTTTGGAGGGCTGAAGCCCCAGGTTCAATCACTGGCACTGAAAGAAACAAAAAATACAAAGAAACCTGCGCCTAGGAACCATGTTGATAAAGCAGGTAAGTTCTAGAAAAAGAGCATCTGCTCTGCAGGTGGGCAGCAGATCACTGTTCCCTTGCACTGAGGCACCACATGGAGTAGCAAAGTGTTTTCAAGCTCTGAAGCCAAGTTTGAGGACACTGTATATGATAACAGGAATAGTATGACAGCAGAAGAGAAAGATTAACAGAAACTTTTGGAAATACATGCTGCCTATCAAAGCTGGGGAGCTGACAGAGATCTGAAAAAGACGCAGAGTAACAATAGGAAGCCACATCAGGCAAAAAAGTAAAAATCAAGGGCTGGAGAGAAAGCAGAGAGTGCAGGCCCACCATGACAATGACAGGTGGAAAGGACCACCCTGGGCAAGAACTGAGTACCGAAAGGTAAAGTGATATACAGGATAATGTTTCAGTATCTGTATTACAAAACACAAAGCGAGCGAGTGAGCGAGAGACAGAGAGAGAGACAGAAACAGAGAGAGACAGACATGAGAGACAGATAGATAGATAGATAGAGAGAGAGAGAGAGAGAGAGAGAGAGAGAGAGCGGTCTGACATAGAGGGAGGGGGAGGCTGGGGTTGGGATGGGAGGGAAACTAGGGACATTGGTGTCGGGAAAAGTATATTGGTGAAAAGTTGAGTGCTAGAACATTGTATGACTGAAGCCAATCATGAACAGCATAGTACCTATGCATCTCACTGTGATTCCATAAAAAAAAAGGGGGGGGAGAGAAATAAAAATAAAGAAGGAAAAAGAAAGAAAGAAAGAAAGAAAGCAAGAAAGCAAAGAGGCAGCTCAGTCGAGTATGATCCTGGTACCACGTGGTTCTCTGTGTATTGCCACTTGCATCACTGGGATCCCCTGAGCAACACTGGGGTGACCCAGAATCCCCACGCTGCAGGGTCTGAGTGTCACAAATGTCCCCTAACACCACCAATGGTCATGCCCAGTACAGAGCTTGGAATAATCCCTGAGCACTGATGGGGCTGCATTTCCCTTCCCCTTCTTAAAAGTAAAATAAAATAACTACCCGAGTTGGTCGGGTTATAAAATGCTTTAACAGCTATGAAAAACACCGCGAACATGTCTTGAACTGGTGTTTGCACTGTCATGCTCCTAGCATGGTTGTTCCTAACAACCAGAAGGTTCCAATCTGACAAATGCCCATAGATGAAACACAGCATTGTACATATACAGTGGAATAGTGGACCAACTTCAAAAAAGAGAAAAGCCTTCTCACATTTACCGACAAAGACAACCCTTTAGGATATAAGCTAGATCCTGAAAGACAAAGAAGTTTTCAGTGCATTCATACAAGTAGTCTATAAAATTCACAGAAACCAAAATAGGATGGTGGGCTGCAAGGGAAGGCGTGAGAAAATGAAGGTTTGTTTGAATGATAGAAGAGACTCACATTCAAGATAAACCATAGAGTCAACATTTTCACAAGCCAATGTACCTACGCTTAAGTATTGCTCATGTCAATACAAGTAGACAACCCCTTTGGAACACCGTGTTGGTGTTAACCAACTGCTCAGACACATAGTGCCAATAGCCAGCAAACCCCCATATACCACTTGTATATAACAGAGGTGTATTCTTTTGTGGGGAGAGGAGGAAACGGAGGGGAGGGGAGGCCACACCAGACTTGGTTGCAGGCTAAGTCAAGCACGTCAACCACTGTATTGTCTCTCTGACCTTTAGAAGTGTATTCCCAAAGACAAAATCAATTCATAATCAGCCCAGCTCAAAACAACTGAAATGTCAATCATCAAAAGAATTTGCAATAAACTTTATCTACCTTTGCAATTGTGGGAGTGGCAGCTAGATAAAATTGGGGGTATGTCAAGCAAGGTCCGAATCTACTGCCAGGACTGTATACACAAGCAAAGTAAGTTCTTAACTACTTGAGTTACAACCGCACTCAATTTTATCTGGCCTTAATCGCAATGAAAATAATCAATTTCATTGCTATTGCAGACTAATCTTATAATTACATTGCTACATGAAAGAAAATACATGATGAAAGAATGCATTATAGGAGACAGGAAAGCGGGTATTGTCAGAGGATTTTGGAAGAGAATAAAAATTTTTCTAAGATCTGGAGAGAGTACGGTGGGTAGGGTGTTTGCCTTGACATGGCCCACCCAGGTTCGATTCCCAGCATCCCATATGGTCCCCTGTGCAATGCCAGGAGTAATTCCTGAGTGCAGATCCAGTAGTAACCCTGAGTGCCAATCCGCCAACTCCCAAAAATAGTTTTCTAAGGTGCCATAAATGTGAATATTGGTTATGAGTGAGTAGGTGTGTGTGTGTGTGTGTGCGCACGCGCACCTGTGTGTCCCCATGCACTTGGTAGGTAGGGGCCCACCCAGCCTAGGTTCTCTCCACAGCTGTGTCTCAGACAGGTCTGGAACCACTTTGTTTCTTTCTACAGCTGTCTCTCATCTATGTCAAGACCATGCTCTACC